ATGTGGGCAGGGGCAGTTGGGGCAGGGGGCAAGCATGTAGGCACTTACTGATTAAGCCCCTTGATTAAGAGGACTGGATAGTCACGTGAGTGAGGAAGGGACTGGTCAAGCAGAGGATGAGCAGAGAGCAAGAGAACGGCCATCTTGAGTGGTCTGACCACACAACATCCTTCACAAAACAGGAACCCGGTCCTTGAAATTTTCACAGACCACAGGCTTTCCTGCCCCATATCTGGGATATAACATCCAATAGCTCATTTGCAACTAATTACGATAAATGTTTCAAGAGCTCAGGAGAAGCAAAATGCATGTATGTATAAAATAGGCCACAGTTTCTAAGAATTCTGCTCTTCTCTGAAGCAAATACAGTGTTTCTAAAGTTTATATGACCAAAAAGAATATCAAGTAAAAAAGGTCTAATTAAGTTTTTTGTTTTTCTTATTTGCTTTTTTAAAGGAAAAAACCATGTTAGGTTCTAAATTCCTCTTTGCACAGAATTATCGGATCAGCAGAGGAATAAAATGTTCTAGCCACTGGCCATGCGAGTTACATGATGTAGAGGCACATTGTGTAACGGGCGCATTCAGCATAGCACACTCTCCTTATCAGGCATTCTTCTGCATCCTTCTTATCTCATATTCTGTGCAAGCAGGCAGCAGCTTGTGGACGGCCTGCAGCACCTTCTAGGGTTCACCTCTCTCAGGCCTCCCATCTCTCATCTCACCCACAAAGTTCGATGATGACTTTCCACTTATGTCTAATAACATATGAAAAGACAGCAGGATATTTCCTTTAACAAACACATACAGAAATGTCTATATACCAGGCACAAATGCTACCGTAGGTCTTTTCAAACATTAATTCATTTAATCCTCAAAGATACCTGTGAGGTAGGTTCTATTTTCACCTCCATTTTAAGATGAGAAATCTCATCACAGAGCTAGTAAGAGATGGAGCCAGGACTCACATGAGTTTGCACAGTCAAACATGGCACCCTGCCCCCTGAAGGAGTCGTATTACAAAGGTGAATGCAGAATTATCAAATAATATTAAGTACTTATATGTAAGTATTTATAAAAATGGAGACAAAAACTTTATTAATGGAGTTTTTAATGGAGGAAGGTCATCTGAATGTTCATGTAGACAAGTTTTCATCATGGGCTTCTAAAATTATAGTTTATGGAGATTTATGGTATATACACAACAGTAGTGTTAGTTCATTGATGTAAAGATAATCACCACTCAAAACTACATATATCTTTAAATCATCAATTATATTTAGTTCTTGATTACAAAGTAATAAATGCTCATATCTGAAAGATTCAGAAAACCACATGGCAAAAAAAAAATCATTTATGGTCCCACCATCCAAAACCATCATTGCTGATTGTTGTATTGCTACATATATACATATATATACAGTCATCCACCCAGGTATTAGCAATTAATAAATGTGGCTCTTTGTGCCAAAGTGATAAAAATGAAAACAATTTACTTTTTTTTCAGTGCCTCAGTGTATACTATTCTCTAAGGGTTGTAAAAGTCATAAAAGCAATACATGAAGATTATAAAAGTTCTTTAAGAGTAGAAATAAACTCCTAATGACACTTATGCTAGAGCATTCTTAAGAATTCAAATATTCAATCTAATTGAAACCACAATGGTGATATTTTTTCAAAATATGATTTTATCATTACATTTTCTGCATTACTAAGGAGCAAGTTTTAGCATTAGTAGGATGAAAGCAATGCTTGCTTCTTAAACTTGTGTACAAATTAACACATCACCATTGATTGATGATTATCTTCTTAATAAATGGATTCTAAAGCTTCTCTGAGATAGGAAGGCACAAGACAACTAAAATGAAATATTGATTTATGATTATTCTAATACTGCTCAGCATTTGTGAAGAAAACTGGTATCCATAAAGCATGTTATAATTACTAATCATAAAACACTCTGCTGGGCTAGATGAAGAATTCTTTCAAACAGGAGGAAAACACGTTAGCACCATGAATCAACATAATAGATTGAAAATCTGCATGGCTACACATCATGATTTCCAGCATCACAAGTGGCTCACTGAATGCCTCAACTAATCATGGACTCCCACTGGTGGCCACGATGTCACAGCTTCGAAGTCGGCTTCCTCTTGAGTTTACCAGTAATTCTGCCATATGGATTGTCTAACGGTAGGAAGACCTGTAGAAAAACCACATGGTAACTTCAGAGGCACTAGAACAGACCTCTCCTTTTTACTATGAATCACTACTATTAAATTGACAACAAAAACAACTTGCTAAACAAGAAAATATGTAGGCTCTCCGGTAGTTACTCCAAGCAAAGCAATGCCTATTTTCCTGGCAATAGTTGAGCGATGAGGTGATTTTTCAGAACATTAAGGAGTTTTTTGAAAAATTTAAATCATTGAGATATAAATGTTTCTCAAATGCATTACACATCCCTGCTTTTTAAATAGGTGTCGTGAACATAATTTGGCCCTTGCTTGATGACTTGCTTTGAGCATCCATCATCGGCCAGTGCTATAATACTGCCGTGCCCTCAGGAACGTTTGAGGTCCTCAGGGCTCTTAGCCCAGTGCTAAGTGGCTCCAGACAGCTGTGCATTTAGAGTTCTTCTGTCCTCCCATCATGTCACTGGTCACTTCTCTTCTGTTTTCAGTGTGACCTGACTCCCTGCTTCTCACATGTTGACTTTACTTCGTACACACCTGCTGGGTGAGGGCCTGGGAGTGAGTGCCTCCAACCATCCCCAAAGTGCGGACACAGACATGCGGACAGGTTGTTTAGCCACTCGTGTGTCTTTATGTGGAGCCCTGGCCCCTTTCTGCCTCCAGGTCTCCAGCTGGGTTCTAGGAGGAAGCTCTGAGTGTAGTTTCTTAGAGCAGAAGACACTGTGGCCTCAGTCCACATCTTTGAGCTAGGCCAGTGCAGGCCTGAGGTGTCGGGGGGCCCTGGGAGACACTCTCCCTCAGTCAGGGGTCCGGGAGCCTGACCCATTCTCTGTTTGGGGTCCATTTGTTTCACCTTTGTTGAACATGGCCCGGTCCCTCCCCTGTCCTTGAGAAAATAATCCTTTAAAAAAGGCTTTATATTCAAATTAGTGGCATTCTGGGAACCAACGTCCTTCCTTCCTCTGAAGTAAATAGTGCTGCCCCTCCTTTCAGCTGAAGGACAGCACGTGGGACCAAGGCTGCCCTCCTCTGCAAAGTCAGGGCCTCTATCAGCTATCCCAGGCACCCAAGCATGGCCTTAGTCACCCAGCGCTGCACCCCAGGCCCCGCCTACAGCTGTGGTGGTGCAGAGCCTGATGGAGCCATCAACACTGCGCAGAACAGAGACAGGGCACCTGGCCAGAGGGGCGTGGCGAATAAGGCTCCTGGGTCAGCAGGCTCAGAATGTAGGACCTTCGGGACACCTTCCTTGGCCTTTGTCCCCAAAAGGGAATGATTCTACCTACGGCAGCAGAGCCATGGTAATAGATGGCCCTTCCCCACCTCACTCTCCCTACACACTAAAAGCAGCCAGCAAAATGGTGTTTTTTTTGTTTTTTGTGTTTTTAACCATTCTAGAAGCCTGTGGAAAGATGGGTCCAACAGAGAAATCCTGCCATTCTGAGAATGGTCCAAGTGGGGAGGGACAGTTCTAATCTCCCAGGACTGACCACAGGACTGACCACAAGCTGCCTGCTGGGACTTCAGGCTGTCAAGTCACACACACTGACCTGGTTTAACTTTCTGCCATGGCTAAAGACAAGTCAGGGTAAGCACTTTTTCCAAGGCAAGGTTTCCTTTCAAAAAATTAACTTCCTCATCTTGCCTTCTGTAACTGCAATTAGAAACACAAATACCATGCAGTGTATACTGTATGCTACTTAAATCAACCAAAAGTTAGGGATGATGGAAAAAAATGAAAATAGAATGTTTTTCCCTCTGCATTGCCTCATGACAGAAGAATGATGACGCTGTGACCCTCTGTGGCACTTCCCCGAGAAGCAGGTCTCAGAGCTGTTTGGGTGCACTCCGTTCTTTCTTTGTCTTTTACTCTGCAACTTCCAACCCTCCTCTATAAGCATTCATCCACTTCTAGGGTACTCCAGCCTCAGATACTGAAAGGCCAGCGTCTAAGAGCGCTCTAATCAGTGGCAGCTATAAATAGTCCAAAAGCAACAGCTGTTAAAAGAGTTGTGGTAGGGGACATTATCATCCCAAGTTTAGAAAGAGGGGTTAAGGGAGTGTGGGGGAGGGGAGAAATATGCTTTTTAAATGGAAGCATTTTTCAGGTTCTCTTACCTCTTCCTTGTTGATCAGTCCCATTTTGGACATGTCGATTTCAACGTAGTGAATGTTTGGCAGGCTGAGTTCCACATCTTCTATCTGGAATCCACAACAATATGTGTCACACTGGGCAACTCTGTCTCTCATTCCCCCCCGCTCTAACCCCCAGCTACCCACTAGCTCATTACTCAGATGCCACCTCCGTCTCCGAGATGCACGCTGATGTTCCTCTGCTGCTTAACCCTGTTCTCTCCTGCTAGTACTATTATTAAGTGATGGACCCACTCTCCTTGCCTCTGTGTGTGGAATCTGTTTCCAGAAAAGTCAGATCTCCTTGGGTCAGAAACCTGGGAGATCTGCAGCATCCAACCGGCTTCCTGGTGCTGGCCTGTCAATCTCTTAAATTCCCTCTTAGCCCAATCCCTCCCCTCCAGGCCTGTCCCTAACATTTACACGCCTGGAAGAAGAGTATCGTGGAGGCCCCCATACCAGATATTTAAAGATTTCAAAGCTATGAATCAAGCTAAAATACTTTCAAGTGAAGTTCTGTCCCTCTAACTTGACAAAGACTCCTTCAGAACAATCTGGAAGGCCAGGATCTAGTTTAAAACTCTGACTCCTTGCAGCATCACGCCAGGACACGGCAGCATGGGAAGGGCCAGCCCCCAGCCCCTGGCCCATCCCATCTTCTCTCTTGGACTCGTGTGGGTTGATACCCCAGCTTGCATGTCAAGTCTCATCCATTCCTCTGACAAACACCTCCCCTTTGCTTACTCTAAGGCTTAAAGGTATACTGATGGCCTGCCCTGCCCTGCCCTTCATGGGGTAGAGCTGGGGAAGAGGCCTGCACAGGTTCTAGAAATAGTCTCAGGGTTAGCTGGGCAGGAAATTCTGGGATGCAAATATCCAGAGAATGGTCTAGAAGGGGAAGCATGGGCTGCTGAAATGTTGGTTGCCTTGGCCTCACCGACTCCTCGTCCAGTGGAGAGAGGTGTAGCCAGAGCAAGGCCTGAACGGGGCCTCTAGGCCATGGCGGGGGTCCCTCCTGCTGGGTCTAAGGACGGCCCCGCTCCTCTCCATCCCATCATGGCTTTCGTCCAGGCTCTCCTTGCCAGTTTTCTGCAACAACCTCCCAACAGGTCTCCTTGTCTGTGGCCCATCATGCTATCACACGCCTTTCATTCAGAGTGGCCTTTCTTAAGTGCAAACCCAGTGGTGCCACACCTTGCTTAGACCCCTCAGTAGCTCCGAAGAGTTTCAGAGTATAAAGAAGCCCACAAATGCCCTCCTGCTCTGTTTCCGGCCTCATCTCTAGGCACATGGAAGGACTTTCACTCCTGGAGCGTCCCATGTGCAGACCCTCCACAGCAAAGGACTGATCCATGCTGCCTCCTGTCTCCATGCCTACCCCCTCCCTCGCCCTCGAGTGTCAACCCAGATAACCCCTGCTTGACCCTTAAGGCCCAAATACCTCTCCCTCCGGAAAGCCCGGCTGGCCCCATCCCCTATATTGGAGTTAGGCACCTTCCTCTGAGTTTCCATAATATTCTTTTTTTTTTTTAATTCCAGAGTTATTTATTTATTTTAGTTGAAGTCAGTTTACGATGCTGTGTCCGTTTCTGGTGCACAGCATAATGTTTCAGCCGTGCATGTATGACTTTTCACATTCTATTTCATTTTCATTATAGGTGACTACAAGATACTGAATATAGTTCCCCGTGCTGTACAGTATCCACTTGTTGTTTATCTATTTTATATATAGAAGTTAATATCTGCAAATCTCAAACTCCAATTTATCCCTCCCCCCAACCTTCCCCGTTGGTTTATTGCTGTGAGTCTGTTTCTGTTTTGTAAACAAGTTCATTGGGGTCTTCTTTTAGATTCCACATATGAGTGACAACTCATGGTATTTTTCTTTCTCTTTCTGGCTTACTTCACTTGGAATGATGATCTCCAGGTCTATCCATGTTGCTGCAAATAGCATTATTTTATTTCTTTAATATATATACACACAATGGAATACTATTCAGCCATAAAAACGAATTTCCATAATATTCTGTTCTCTATTGAATCATTAGTTTACTTACTTTCTTATTTCACTGAATGATGAACTCTTTGAGGGTAGGGGCCTTGCCTAATTTACCTCTGATTTCCTCATGTGCTGACCGAGACATAACAGTCATTCAATAATATCAAACGGATGGAAGGACGGATGGATGGAATCGCTCCACATCTATCCTTCAGTCTCTGGCTCTCCTGAAACCCAGGCCCTTGGGATAATTACCCCTCCTTCAGGGCATGCAAGTGTCCTAGATATAAAACTTAAATTGTAGCAAGTTGAGGAGGCTTAGAATTTTCAACAGAACTACAGAATTACAGCAGTGGCCTGTGTTTTCAGGTTGCACAGATTTTTTTCCATTTTTTCCTCTCTTCTCACTAGCTATAAATAGCTTTTGAACAACAACAGATGTCATTTTTCATGTGTCTTCCACTTTCTTATTTTAACTCTCAACTCCTTCTCAGAGCTGACAGGAGACACAACAAACTCTCTCGGGCCTCAGAGGGCAAGTGACAAGCCGTACCTCAGGGATCTGGCTCAAGGAGAGCACCTGGATGTCACAGAGGGTCTTCTGGATAGAGGGCGAGTACTCGCCTCTGTCAAAGGGTCCAGCAAACTTCTTCAGGATAATGTCCCTCATAGTGTCCCTAAAACACAAAAAGAGAACGGAGGGCTCTCACAGGGTGGCCTTTTGGGAATGCATTAGGAAGCTAAAAAGTGGTGACCTTTCTGTCTCCCAGAAAACAATTTTATTGCTGGTTTTAGAAAGAATTAGAATCTTAAAATACAAACAAAAACAAAAAACCCACCCCAAACACCTCACTTCCCATTTCCCCGTGCACACACACTTCCCGGTGCACGCGCGCACACCAGAGACAAACACACACCATTCAACAGACATAACTAGAGCTGCCTTCAAAGCCTGGCCCCGGGCCCAGTGGGCCTTCCAGGGTAAGACTCCCTCCACGTTTGAAGACCTTACGAAGAGGACTTCCTGGTGCTCTAACCTTCCTCCCGCTCGGTCACTTCTTTGAACTGTTGCATTTTCAGGGGTTTTACTGTGCCAGGCTCTGTGCTGAGTATTTTATGTGATTACTTCATTAAATTCTCTCAATATAGTCAAGGCAGCAGTATTATCACCCCCAATTTAGAGGTGAGATATCTGAGCTTACAAGTTAAATGATCCTCTCAAGTCCCTCCCTTTAGTGAGAGGCCCGACAGGTACCCTGACTGACTCAGTTTCATGTTCTTTTCAACACAAATACATCAGGCGGCTGCCCGCGGGGAACACGTGAACAAAAGGGGAAAAGTGATTGAGATGAGGTTCTCTTTAAGCATCTCCAACCTATCACATAATAAAAGGAGCAGAGCAAAATGAGAGCAATGGGGGGAAGCTACCAGGGGGCAGATTCTGGCTCATCGTAGGGTCGAAATTTCTAACAACTGGAGTGTCGGCAAAGGAACGAGACAGGAGAAACCTGGCCAGAAAGCAAACTCTGGGAACTCAGAGGCCTAATTACTGCTTGTCAAGGATGTTAAAATAGTCATACTTGTCATTTATAAAGTGCTTCTGTAACTGTCATCTCATTTTGCGTTTAGCCTACGGTGACCAGCTGTCCCAGTTTGCCTGGGACTGAGTGGTTCCCTGGGATATGGGACTTTTGGGGTTAAAATCAGGAAAGTCCTTGGCAAACTGGGATGAGCTGGTCACCCTAGTACAGCCCTCGCTGCATCTGCTATGAAGTAGGAATGGCATAGCATTTGGAAATGCCATTATCCTTATTTGACCCAGTGGTTCTGAAAGTGAAGCCCCTCGTCCAACAGCATGAATGTCACCTGGGACATGGTGAGAATGTTCTCAGGTGCCATCCCGGGCCACAGAATCAGAGCCTTTTTGGGGGGGTCGGGGGGTGGGCTCAGTGAGCTGCAGTTTAACAAGCCCTTCAGGTGGGTCTCATACACAATCACATTTGCATATTGCTGATTTCGTCAGTTAAAAAACAGAGGGTCAAGCAAATCAGGCGACCCGCTCAAGGTCTTCACAGCTCATAGCGTCCTAGGGTCACCTGCAGATTTACTAACTCAAAGTAAGCCCAGGGTCTTTCTGTGATTCATCAGAAGGGGTTTCTTCCAGTGAGGAGGTTGAGTTGAACGGCTTCCAAGTTTCCCTCTCAGAGGGAAGACTCCACGAACTCTGGGCCCCTGGCAAAGAGGGCAGACACTGCCTGCACCATGCCAGGCCCGAGCCCTCATGCATACCAGGTGGCGTCAAAGTCCACGTCTCTGCCCGGGTGGTAGCGCCACCTGCAGTACACTTGGGTGGCAAAGATTCGGTCCTTCGTCTCTGGGAGGGTGGTGAATTGGTCCCTGATGAATCCTTCGAATCCGGACTGGGTTGTTTTCAAGACCTTGAGGTCTTTGATTCCAGAATGAATGACTGGATGTCCTGTTTTAAGTCAAAAGGTAAGCGGGGATGAGGTCATAAACAAAACTGCCCTAAGGATCCTGGTCATTAAAATGTGGCACAGTCTGTACAGACAGCTACATCACTGCCCATGTTTTCTGTCTCCTCTGAAGTCCAAGTGATGAAGGTGGTGTGCCTGTCCCTCCTCTGTCTGAATTCCACAACTCCCTGCCCTCTCCTGCCCTCGGGGAACTCAAGGTCAGAGGCTAAGTCTCCAGGCTGTGTTGAAGCCCACAGGAACAAATACCTTTTTCTCAGCTTGTGCAGGAATAGCTTTTAGGCCAAGTTATCTTTCACATCTTGAGCCCCATCTCGTTCATCAGGCAGTCACGCTGGAATGAGGTAACAAACTCCTCAAAAAGCTGTTCCTCTGTTTGCTCTGTGACGTCCTTTACTGGGGGCAGTCCTCACGCTGACCACCTACACTGCTGATGGCTCCAGTCACAACCAGACCCTCAGTTCCCTTGTGTTATGAGCCCAGCAAAACCAGACAATGTCATAAACGGGGAGCAGCATGGGCCTGTTTTTTTTTTTTTAACCTATCCATTTTTTAATGTTTAAATTCTTGATATTACAGAACCAAATTGAAATTTATTAACATTCCACTCTTACAGTTCTTATCAACAAACAGAAATAAAATTCATGAGCCAAAAGCTCAAGACAAATTAAAAACAGGGAAAAGCTTATAAAACTAAATATGGATCCCCGCATTAATAGCTGAATAGAGAACGTGATTTTTCAATTCTAAGCAGATGATAGAGCCTACATAGAGACGGGGAAGATGAGGCCAGTGGCCCACGAGGCGCAGATTGCCTAAGTGCGTACCCACAAAGGCTTTAGTTTTTTTGGCTGAACTAAGAAGGGGCAAAGGTGGCTCATGGGGGCCTGGGCAGAGAGGGCAGAGCTGAAAACAACAGAGCGGATGGTACGGTTCTCCTGCAGCCCCCGACAACACCCTATGAAGTGGTGGGCATAACCTGATGCTGATGGGCATAATCTGAAAAGCTGTTTACTTGTGCTTCAGGCAGTTTTAGCTCAAGGCCCAGGTGACAGATGGGGTACAGAGTCAGTGAGAAGAGTCTCTCTTTCTTTCTCTGTGTGGACACAGTGTACCTCCAGCAGTTTGGTGAAGACTAAAGAGAACATGGCGCCAGGGGACACCGTGGGAAGCCCCAGGGCACCACGTCTGTGGGGAGCAGCATTCTTTCCAAGGAGCAGGGGCACCGGGCACAGCAAACAGTGGGCAGAGCTAGTGAGGCAGAAGCTGCACACAGTGGGTGCAAACTTCTTGAGCACATGTGAGACAGCCCTCCAGGCTGGGAGAAGGTGGGAGAATTTTGCCGGGAGGCACAGCGGTTCTGTAACGAGAGAGCTGTGGGGCCAGGGGAATTTGGGAATTAACATCACCACGGCCTTATCTGTGTGGGCAGGCTCGCGAGGCCAGGACGGTCGGGGCCACGTGGGTACAAACCCCCAAAAGCAGCGTGCCAACGCAGGATGACTGAGGTCACCTCTTTCCAGTCTTGAAATTAATCCACACTAGTATCTATCTTTTTCGCCTATTTAATCATAAGTCAACAGCTGGAAGTATCAGGCATCACTATGCTGTACGTGGTCTCTGTGGAAGAATAAGAATGTATCCATGATCCTTAATCAGAATCCTGGGCAGCTCTTAATAACCCAGTGATTTACATCTCCTGTGTGATTTCAATTGCTGTGGTTAACTCAGGAGCTGCAGAGTTTCAGAAGTAGGTAAATAATGGCTATATTTTGGTATTTTCCCAGCCACATGTGTGTACCAACAGAGAGAGCAGCGGCCATGGTTAGTGGTAGGTCTGCTAATTAAATGTGTGCTGATTAAATAAGGTGTTCTGGTCAGAGTGTTCTAGGATAATGTGGTAAAACAGAAAATGGTACTTGTTTCCCATGCTGAAGTTCCCATTGGAAGCTATATCTGAGGAATAATCACAAGAAAGATACCAGAAATGACTTAATGCCTTAAGCTGGCTGAGTAGATCAGATTCTAAATGTAAAAAGACACGATTCTGCAAAATCAGCGTTTCTAAATGCAGTGTAGAGCTGATCCAAGTGAGTCTCAGTCTCAGGCCCGAGAGAGCTGCAAAAGCAATCAATAAGTATCTGTTGAATTGAATGAGTGCAATAAAATTGATTCACATTAACAACTTAGTCTCTTTTTCTTCTAGACAGTTCTCCCCTGTCAATCCTTACTATTTCCTTCCTGATCTGCCCCCTCCCCTCAACTTTCACACAGAGCGTGGCAGGAGGAGAAGGCGAGGGCATCAACACTGGCTGAGAACGTCCTGTCAGCATCCTTCTGGTCATATGGCTAGAAACTGGCAGAGGAGGAGTTTGAACTCAGCATCCCATTATGAGATTTCATGCTCTTCTTCTCCCTTTTGGGGTCCCTCCCCATCCTCACAATTCCTCCTTCTTTTCACTCTCCCCATTTCTGTACTGTAAGAGGATTTTCCGACAGACAAGAAAGCTGCCACCTCCATTCCACAATGTGCTTTGAAGGCCCCAGCCTGAAAAATACCAACTCCATTGGTTCAAAATGAACATTAAAGCATCACTTTTAGAAACGGCCCTGTAAGTCTTGAAAACATAGTATTATTTAAAAATTTCCTATTGAAATAGAAAGACCCCTTAAAGGAGTGACTCCTTAACCTTTACAAACTAATATAATTTACTTGCAATCATAATCCCTTCTAGAAAAAAATCCTACAGAAAATAAACTTGGATTTGCAATCGGGAGTAGGGTTAGAACAAGCACTGAGGAACCCGTGAAGAGGGACAGAGAGAAGGTGAAGGAAACCAAAGGCAAACTTTGCTCCTACTTTCCCTACACAGCTGGCCTTGACCGCCAGCATCCATGTGAGCCGACCAGACTGGCTCCTCCAATGGTCTCAGTCATAAAAGGCTTTCTGGATGCAGTGCTGAGTCCACAGTCCTGGGACTAGAGTCCTTGAATTCACCCTCGGTGCTCTCAGTGCCTCTCCTCCCCTATTTATGAGCAGTGTTGCCCTGAGAAAACTCCTTACCCTCTCTCTACCTTGACTTTCTCATCCGCAGGAGGTGATAATCATAGCTATTTCCTGGCGCTGACAGATGTCTAAGATAATACACATAAAGGACTCAGTCAAATGGCTGCCCCATCGGAAATGCTCTATAAAAGTTACATTGATGATTTTGCCACAACTGACGTTTTCTTATTGCGTTCAACCACCTGTAAATATTTCCCATGCTTCACAAAGGCTCACTGGGGTCTAAAACTACTTCTGACATGCCAGCCCAGTCCACCCCAGCCCTGGGATGAGATTTGCTGACCTGAGGGGAGCGTCAGTCTGCCAGGCAGCTTTGAAATGATCTACTTTCTTGCTAACGATCCGAAAATGGAGAAGGCAGCTGCATTTTCTAATGTGTTTTGGCCTCAGCTTCTCACCGAATAAAACATTTCATGTTCTCAAAGACGGTTCACTACTGCCCCAGTTCAGGCAGGACGCAAACCATGTCCTCTGGCACACTCATCACCCTGCGAGCAAACAACAGAAACCTATTCTCTTTGAACGTGAAAAAATACATTTTCTTGGCGCACATTAGACACTCGGGATGAACCCTGGGAGCTTATTTTCCCTTCCCTGTTGGTGATTCCCCAGCTTTCTGAACACTGGTAAAAAAAACAAACCTGAGCCTTTCAAATTCATGGGCCCATCAACTAAAAATATGATGCCTCACACACTCTAAAAAAGATTCCAAGAAGTAATTCGACCAAAAAGACTGCCCTTTTCTAGGTTCCTTCCCATGAAACCACTTAATCAGCTCTATTTTGCCTTTCGGCCATGGTTATGGAGTGATGCAAAAGGAAGATTTTCCCATTTTACTTGGTTAGAACATAATCTTTTCTAGCTTCTAATGTCCTCCTACACACTTGACAGATTGTGGTTTCTCTCCCCGGGAAGCACGCATCCTACTCCTCGAGCTCTCCAAGGGGAAGAAACTCACTGCAAGTTAAGAGAAAATCACCCCGATTCCTTACCTACGCATCAGGTGTCACAGAGCACAAAGCGTTACTGAGCCAAGAAAAAAAAATCCTGTCACCAAGAGGATAATTGCTTCTACATTTAACACCTCCAAAAAGGACACAAATAGCTACAAGGAGGATATTTTAAAACTATATTAAATCATTCTAGTAGAAAACCTCAAACTTGTAAAGTGCTGGAAACAGTGAAGACCAATTAAATATCATTTGCCTTTGAGAGTCCATCTCGCCCAGGCGGGGAGGGTGGAAGCTCTCTCTGTGCAGCTCTGGCTCTGGACGGGAGAGATGGCGTCCCCCAGCCAGAAGACCGTTCACTGGGCTGTTGTACAACTAGGTGGTGATCAAGATGATTTTAAAAAGGTCTTGGGCTTGCCAAGAACTTTTCTTCTGGAATAAGATAACTGAGGAGTTATCTTATCTTGGCATCAAAAGGACATCGGCAGCCTTCTTGGCAGTGGCTGCCTCTGTCTGTCTCCCACTTTCCCCACCTCATTTCTTCCGTCTGCCCTGCTTGACGCCTCTTAAATCCATTCTCCTCTAGGACTTAAGTTTCATCAATCCCCTTCCTTAAGACCATCCTCCTGTGCCTACTAGTCTCCATGTCAATAGATTATTTTTCACCACCAGAAGGCAGTATCTCTTACTTGAAATCTCTTTGCTATCTTTCATTCCTGTATTTGGATATGCTTTAGTTGAGTTTTTATAATTAGTGTCAGATTGGGAGAAATTTGATGCTTAAAGAATTGGGAATTATAATTCAAATTTGTGTGTGTGTGTGTGTGTGTGTGTTGGGGGATGCTCTGCTATTAGTTCAATTAGTTTAAATTAGTGACTCAACCATCCCAGTGACTTTGAGGCTTGGCTGAACTTGTAGTTCAGAGAGACACACAGGTGAGAGCTGGGAAGAGCTGGGTTCCATGTAACACCTGCACCGACAGCCTGCATCACAAACGCGGAGCCCAGCTCTCCCCTCGGAGCTTGGGAAGTCACAGATGTAACAGCGGCCCTCATCCCTGCGGTGAGCAGACGTCTCTCTCTCTCCCAGGTTCTTCCATGGAACTAGCAGACTTTGAAACAGCTAAAAGTATACTTCATGATGTAGCTTAAAAGACACAGTAGGAAAAAAATAGGGTAATGGGAGTTTTATAGCAAGTCTCAGGGCCTAAAATGGGTGCTTGAGATTCAGTAGGCTTTCTATAAATGTTTGTTCAATTGATAAGAATAAATCCAGCCTACAGGAGAAACCCAGTTACACACCCTGCTTGGAAGGGCTGCAGGCTGCATGTGTGACTGAGCGCACGCGCTGGAGGGGGCAGAGTCCTCACCCTCCCGGCCAGCCCCGCACCAAAGGCCCAGCTGGGAGGCTGGTAACGGCAGCCTTCCACACGTGAACTGGGGGGCGTGTGTGCGAAAGATAATGATTACTTTCTTCAGCTAAGCTTATGCAAGGGGATTTCTTATGACAACGATCGTACACTGACTCACCTCACAATATTCACTGTTCTAGCTCTTGAATAATAAGCAAACAAAGAATTAAACTTTGTTAGCAAAAAACGCATAGATCCCTACTCTCCAAAAAGGGACAGAGTACAAATGTCATCTCCACACACACAACACGGAACGACACACACATTCAGGAAGGTGTGCACACACACACTGCACACACCCTCGGCAGCAGGCGCCTCCTCCCCTGGCGACCCGTGCCAGCCCGCATGCTGTCCGAGTCAAGCTGGAGCCCCAGGGACACTGCTACGGAGGTCGCAACACCCTGAAGCTTTCTGCGGAAAGGAAAGGTTCTGGCCTGATTCTGATGATTAGTTTTTCTACTCCACAGCCGCCAGGTGACTAGAATTCAGGCTGATGATAGTTCCTGGTAATTCCTGGAAAGAACAGGGTGTGAAGAGCAGTCTGTTTGCTTCCTATGATCAGCAGAGCCCTGTATCTGGCTACTCCACTTCCACCTCCAGGGATCTGCGAAATATTCTCGTGGACAGAGGTCATCAGCGACCCCTATTTGCCAAACTGCACACTCTCTCCAGTCTTTGTTAACCCAACTCCTTAACCTCCTGTGGCAGAGACCTCTGGCTCTTGTCTTCCTCCCGGCCCCGGGTGGACTACATTTCCCGGCCGTCCTTGCCGTCAGGCGTGGCCGTGAGACGCGGTTCCCTCCCGCAGCTGTGCTCTGTACTGCCTTCAGACCTGGTGTTCGGCTTGAGGGATCTGCTTCCTCCTGCTGCTCCTCCGAGCTCTGCCCCTCTCCTGGTTGTCTGGGATGGGGATCTACTCTCAAAGTGGCACCAAAAAGTAAGGATGAAAAATGTCTGATTATATCAACCAGGTACTTGAATAACTTCCAGGAGCAGAGCATCCTCCAAACACGCGCACGCACACACTTAACTCCACTTTTACAAAAAGCGGTGAACTTTGTGTGTGGAGCCACTGCACATAAACCTACTTGTCATGCATTCTGTTACCCACTAACTAACCCTCCTTTCTCGAGATGTATTTTTCTTTTGCATCCATGACACCGTCTCCAATTCTCCTCTTTCTCTGGCCATTCTTCTTTCCCATCCTTTACACTGTCCAACCCTTAAGCTGGGTAATTTTCCCCAGGGCCCTCTCATCTTTCCTCTTCTCCCTTTATATGTTTTTCTGGAATGTTCTTTCTTCCCCATGGCTTGACCTACCATCAGTCTCCAAATCTATCTCTGTCCCTTATTCCCAAACTCACCAGCTTCCCTAGGAAATTTCCTCAGTGCATGTATTCTTCCTGGTCGACTCCGCTAGGCCGCTGACTTTAGGGTAACTTTAACCCCTCCTTCTCTCGAACCTCCCATCCCTACTCAACTACTCAGACCTATTAAGTACACTTCAGAAGTGCTTCCTATGATGCCTCTCCCCCACCTCTGCAGTCTCTCCATTTCTACTTTTACTGCCTTACTTCAGACTCCATCATTTCTTCAACATCTCATTACTGCCGGTTTCTCCAGCCAGTTCACTACAACCTTGGTCAAAATTACTAATCAGCACACTCTATACATTAAGCCCCTCCATGGATTTCTATTGTCATTCTAAATAATAATAATAATAATAATAATAATAATAATAATAATAATAACAACAACAACAACAACAACTATCTTTCTTATGTGCCAGGTACTGGGCTAAACGCTTTACATTAAGATTTATCTCCGTTAATTACCTGGACAGTTGTTGAGGCAGACACTGTTCTCCTCATCTTATGAGTGAAAAACCACTGAAGTAGTGTATGCAACTTGCTCACAGCCACAAAGTTATTAATTAGTGGAGCTCAACTTCAGAGACAGTTTAGCCTGATTCCAAGGCCTGTGGGCTCATTAACTACCGTGTAAAACTGCCTTTGAGTCACTGATCTCATTAGTATGGTACATGAGGCCCAAACCAACCTCTTCATCTTCACCTGCTCCTTCCATTCTAAAAACTGGACCCTTCCAAGCTGCTGTCATTCCTCAGACGCCTTCCCCTTTCAACCCGAAAATGACTTGCCCACTAGGGTGATCTGCGTGAGGCAGGCGCAGATGAAAATAGTTTAGTTTCCCTTTTCCACTCCTTTATGATTCCTACCCATATACGTTCTGTTTCTTCTGCTGGTAATTTCCTTTCCCCCTTCTATGCCCAGTACGCTCTGAATCATTTTTCAGAAGTCATTTGGAATATTTCCTCCTCCCTGTCAAACTTTCCAAACTGCCCTAGGAAGTTAATTTTCTGCACCTCTTTGCTCCCATCCCATAACTTTAATTCCTTTATGAGGGTCTTTAGCCTTTCATATTGCAATAAATCTTTTTATAAGTCTATTTCCTACTGTTCATCTACTGGGAACTCACCAGGGTCAGAGAATGTCTTATTCACCTCTGAATCTACTGCCCTTCATATACATAAGAAGTCCTCAGAATCACTGTTGAATGAATAGTATTTCCATGACTGACATTACTATATTTCATAGAAGCTCTCATTTTTTTAGTTAGCTTTCCTGAAATCTACTTCTAGCCCCTGCTATTATTTTACATAACTGAAAGTAGAATAAGGAATATGCTAAGTAATTGCAAAAATCACCTGAAATGGTTTAGAGCTGTGCTAACCAATATGGCAGCCACTAGCCACATGTGGCTATTAAGCACTTGGAAAATGGTAAATGAGAACTGAGATGTCCTCTAAATATAAAGAATTGCAAACACTTAATTTTTAAAAAATAATGTTAAGTATTTCATTAGTAATTTTTATATTTGCTGTATACTTAAGTGGTATTTTATACATATTAGGTTAAATCAAATGTATTATTAAAATTCTTTTTGCTTTTCTAATGTGACTACTAGAAAATTTTAAAATTAGGTATATGGCTTGCGTTATATTTCTGCTGGGAAGTGCCAGTTTAGAGTGGTTTGTATAGGAAAACACTGGCCTGGGATATCAGGAAACCTTTCTTTCTCTCACTCCTCCAAAGTCACACACAAAAGGCAAGAAAGAAGGAAGGAAGGAAGGAAGGAAAGGAAGTTACATCTTAACTAACAAACAGCTCAGTCACCAAGTGAATGTTTCACATGACTACCCATTTGGGGGATGAAAAAAGTCATTGTCTCTTCAACTTAACTCAACAACTAGTCATTTGGTCTCCTTTACAGGATAATAATTTCATAACTGTTAGTTAAACACTGAGAAGGCCCTGGCTGTGTCTAGAATTCAACACAAAAAGGGAAAAATATTACATGATAGCTACAATACTAGGACTTTCTAAGGGATGGCATTATCCAGCAGAACTCAGAACAGGAGGGACTTAATATTTTATTAACCTTTTTATATTTCTGCAGTTTATGAGATGCCACCTCAAATTCTTACTAAAGTAAGCTAGAGAAGAAAGAGAAAGAGACATACAAAGAAAAGAAAAAGAGACAAATGAGCAGGAAAGAGGAAGAGAGAAGAAGAGAGAGAAAAGGAAAGAAAAATAGAAGAGAAAAATGTTCACAGTCCACATTCTCAATTTATAATGACCATTAAAGTTTATTTTTTATTAGGATAGAGATATTTCTACTATGTTGGCGTCATGGTTCTTAGAGATATTCCAGTCTAACTCTTCGCCAATTACCGAACTCTGCTCTAACAACCTCAACAAATCAACGAAAGACGAGCTTTGGGAATTTTAATATTTGCTAAGTTCAATCATCAGTACTAATAAGGTCTGTATTGTAATTATTTCCACAGTTAATTTTTAGATTTCTTGGTAAACAGAAAGAATTAGATCACTGTCATTGCTATTTTAAATGAGGTCCATTTTATGATAATTATAATAGTATCAGTGGTTTTATCATTATGACAAATAGAATTTTAAGGAAACTTCATTGTTACTTACTAGGTATTTCCTATAAAGGTTATTATAATCATAACATGGCGTAGTACCAAAAGCACCGGTCAGAAAATTCAGAGATTCAGGTTTTTGTCAGACTGTGCCTTTTTTACCCCTTGCCTCAAGATCAGGCAATAAAAATGATCTACCCCACTCCCCAAATTTGTTGCAAAGGGTATTATTCCATTTTTATATTTTTAAGATAAAAAAATTGATAGTTCTTTAATGTAATCTAAGGTCACAATGCTCATTCCCATCTCAAATTTTAAAGACTTCAAAATTCTCTAAGGTTTTCCTTGATGTTAATACAGAGTTGTTTAAAAGAAAAAAAAACCTGAAATTGCTATTGCAGAATCAAAACATGAAAAACATTTTTCTCACCACTCCTCATCTGCTCAACCTCACAGAAGTGCTTTTCAGTGGGAGTATAAATAAATGCATGGACATGCTTAACTCCATTCTGAAAATTAGAAAAAAAATTATTTCCAATAAAATTTCAGCATATATCATAAAACCAATTTCTTAATTTAATTAAACTGAAAGCATAAATAAAGAAGAAAACCTTTTCAAGACGCTTCCAAGGAACTTCTTCCATATAGACTCCAACTCGGATGACATGGTCAAAGGAAGAAAGGAAATGCTCACAGACATGCATGGCAAAAGTTTCTATGCTTTTAATCTGTAAAGAGAAACAAATGCTAGTGATCAGAAATACTTGCCCCACTTAAAAATCATTTTTAAATATCCACAACACTCTATTTCCTGATGAAATGCTTTTTTTTTTTAGAATCAGAGAAACAAAGAATTAGAAAGAGTCTTAGAGATGAACTGGTCTTTACCCTAATTTTCGCAAGGGCTTCTAAGTGTGGTTAATAGATTGCCACCACCAGGTGAGAATATCCTGTTTTTAAAAGAAACTTGTTTGCAGGAGGGGATGTGTCCATCAATGGATGAGCAAGAAGTGATCTTAGCATTCAGATTCTCCTCACGCTGAGCTCGGCCACCACCTGTGCCAGCGGAAGTCCTGCAGTAGGCTCCAGAACACCCTGCTCCCTTTACGAGGCTGGCCAACAGGCCTCCCAATTTCTCAAGGAAAAATGTCCATGAAGGGTCACTTCAGCTCCCTTGCCTTGCAAACAGGCCTCCTAGTGACCATCCCCAGCTCAGCTCTCTATCCCCATAAAGCAGCTCCCTACTTCCACACAAATTCTTCATACTAATCTCTAGGCAATATTTTATGGTCCTAGTACAGTCTACAGATTATTTATGGCTTTGCCTGTAATTCAGGTAAACTATTTACCTATAATCAGATTTCTCCAAGATAGTTTTATTTTATACCCGTTGTCGCAGAATAATTATAAATAAGCATTCCATTTCACTCTCAAAGTATCCTGGTATGGATAAGAAATTACATTCTATCTATAATGAATGGACTTAAATTATTTTTACTATCTAGGGCCATTCCTTCACTTTTCTGTACCTCTCACTCAGTAGAGGAAATATAAGAATTTGTGTTACTTGGCCCTATGCTATAGCACAGTATAGAGGTTTATTTTCAACGTAGTTTTTTAAGAAAGCAATGGCTTTTTCCAGAGCCCTGTGTAGGCTTGCTGGGCCATTCTGATCAGCAAGAGAAAGGTTCAGGGTGGAGAGAGGCCTTGCAGAAATAATATTCCAATTATTTTGCTCATTTCATGTATTATGGGTATGAATTTCATGCAAAAGCATGAGAAAAGAAGCTTGCCAGTCTACACGTCTTGCCTTTCTAGGCTTCTCAGCAAATAAAAAAAAATTATCTTGAGTTGCTCAGAAATCTGCTGGTTGTCCAGCACGGCTTCATTCACACTTAAAGAAACCTGACATACAAGTGCTAAAAACTCAGATTCTGTTAGTTCCAAGATCCTTTCAATGGGTATAATTACCACCAAATAGGGACACTATGTGGTCATGGAGTTGGGAAAATTCGGAAGGCGTTAAAAGTTGGACAAATAGATTTCAAAACGTATCTCATACTCAAGATTTTCTTCTATAGTAATGCCAAGAGGAGAAATGGTACTTTCTCCTATAAACACCATTCTAGAAGAAAAAAATAACAGGACTCAGAGAAATGCAAGACAAAAATGTGTAAAATTATATTCTGAAATCGTGTCAAGGCCTTGATTTGCCAATGACACTAATTAAGAGACAATGTGTAAATCTGTCAAATAGGATTCTCTACCTAAAAGATGTAGTGAGTTGAGAACCAAGAAAAGGGAACAAAGGAGAAAAAAAAAAAAGAGAAGAGAACAAAGAAGTGAGTTTAATTAAAAAAAGATTTTCTGTAAAGCTGAGAATATTAGAATAGAAAAGGAAAAATTTTAATAGCTTAAATGTAAAAATAGGGTTTGAAGTTAAAGGGAACTTGAAACAAGCAAGTAATACCCTCATACTGTAATACAGTGAATTCTGCATCAAGACGGGCAGCATCTAAGAAGTATGAGACATACGCCTTTGGTCTTTGCCAGGACATGAACTGTGTTCTTCATGGTGTCTGTGGGGATGATGTCTGCATTATCCCCATACAGGTAGTCTTTTTTGGAGCTCAGAGTAAGTTCCACCGAAGTTGCCACCTCTTTAATGCTGTGATATTTTCCATTTCGCTGAATACGAAGAACTTTGACCATATCCTTCCCATAGCCAGTTCGGACAAACTCCACGTCATCGTTCTGCAACGAAAATGATCGTTACTGAAGAAGGCTAAATGAAAGCAAGAAGTCAGCTGTAATTTCTTTAAGTCTTAATTTTATCATGTAATTATGAAAGGTGAGAGTTGGAGTGTTCATGAAAGCAAGATCACGCCCTACCTTTGTAGAGGAAAGAGAATTTGTATGGAGGGAAGAGAAACAGATAAAAATACATCAGACTGGTCTGAAGAGAGACAGGGAGATGACTCCCTTGATAACAATAAACAACAATAAAAATAACAGTACCTCCTGAGCCAAACTATTTACTGTCTTATTTAATCTCTACTAACCTAATCCTTATATCAGCTCTGTGAATTAATATTCCCATTTTGTAGAGGGAGAAACTGAGGTTGGAAGAGTTGAAGTGACTTGCCCTTGTTAGTAAAGGACAGAGGCAAGAGTTCAACCTCAGGTCTGTTGACTCCAAATTGTGCCTTCTAACGACCACGTAAACTGCCTTCCTCTGTAACACTTTTTTTATTCTGTTAACTGGAAATACTTCCCCTTTTTTATAGAGAATAGTATTCTAGAGAAAATGCCCTGTGATCGATAAAAACAATTTGAAAATCGCTTCTTCTACTTGCTGCCAGGAGGAAGAGTAATTAGTGACAGGGTCCAGATTACCTTCAGCAGTGCAGAACCAGGGCCATCTGGCTGCAGGGAAAGCCATGCTTTGAGCGAAGAGACACTTAATAAAAGCCGAGTGATTGATTCATGAGTACCCCTACCTGAAGCTTGCTAGCGAACACATCCATCTTTACTGCGCGCCTAAGACTTGTCCCTGGGCCTTGTTTGTGTTTAAAAAAAGAGGCAGGAGGGAGCAGACAGACAGAAAAACCTATTCCATTTGGCATGAAAATTAACATTGAAATGGTCATGAAAGAAGGTGACACAAATAAAAGTAAATTAAAAACAATACGCAGTGAGAGTCTGGGGAAGGTCACAAAGAAGAAACCTCACGTGCTGGTCGCACACAGGTGACATGCTTAGATAGATCAAAGGCTGCCCCAAAATCTGCCTGCAGGAAAAAACTCACCAGATCCTCTGGGAGGAATTTTAAAATACTCGCCAACATCAGGAGTTAACTGCCATATTCTCCGTGAAAGTGCGGCGGGGAGGCTGTCTTCAGTCTCGGGACTAGAGCCCGGGAGGGCGTGTTGATTACTGATCACACCCTGAGGGTTCGGGGGTCTGAACTCAGTGCTTCCTCTGCAGGAGGGACACATTTAAGGGTCATCTTCAAGAAAAGTGTCAACAAGAAAACCTGAAGAGCAACGTAACGGATCCTAGTAAGAGATAGGAGTGACCGGGAAAGAGGCGCTGTTGTACGGTTGTGGTGGCTGTGAAATCGGACCAGGTCCGAATGCTGCCCTGCCACTTACAGCTCTGTGGCTTGTGACAAGTGATTGGATGTCTCTGAGCCTCAGTTTCCCGCTTTGTACAAATGGAGATAACCACCCTTACTTGTAGAGTTTCTAGTGAATGTGGAAGGCCTGGCTCAGTTCCGAGTACCTAGCGGTGCAGTGAGGTCCACCCCAGCCAGAGGGGCCATGTCAGGCCTGGCTGTGGCTGTCACAGCAGCAGAGACAGCAGAGGAGACCTTGAGTAAGATTACTAGTTTCTAGAGCGGGGAGCGCTGCTGGCAACAGCAGAAGGATGCCGTTGCTGTGTATTGAACCACAAGGGAGGAAGGCACCTAACTGGCTTGGGGTCCCTGGATGGTATGCACTGGGGTCCAGGACCAAAGGTCTCTGAGCTCTTCCATTGTCCTCAGCACATGATGGGACTCAACAAACATTATTCTTTAGTCCTATCCCCTGTCACTGAATACTCAGGCTACAGTAGGTTCGTCTGTCGGAAGCAAGTGGTACGTGAGATACATAGAAAGGTTAAATGATAGCTACCCTTCACATCCGCACCCCTGCTCACCTCTCCAGCTTCGCATCCTGCCACACCCCGTTTCAAACTCTGCTTCAGCTATCTTGAGCGAATTGTGGTTGCCCGGGCCCTGCATGTTTTCTCTGCCTGTAGGCCTTTGGATCTGTTATTCCATCTTTCTGGAACATTCTTTCTCTTCCTTGGTACCCAACTACCAATCCCTTCACCTGCCTAACTTCTTCAAGTCTCAGATGTCATTTGCACTAGGTGATCTGCCCCAGCCTTCCTAGTCTGGAGTGGGTGCCCCTTCTATGCGCTCTCTGAATACTCTGTTTTCGTCTTATCAGAGTCTTTATCAAATTGAATTACAGTTGCCTCTTCATGTGTGATTTGTTCAAAAACAGGAAGCTATGAAAGTGGAAACATTTCTCTCTTGGTCGCCATGGCAACCCCAGAGCTCTGCAGAGTGCTTGGAACACAAATAGGCGCTTAATAAATGTATCGTGAATGAGTGAGCGCTGTACCGCCACCTGCCCCGCTTGGGTGATGACATGGAATAGTTCAGGGAAATATCCCCAAGATTTCAATACAGGAAGAGCTGCTTCAGCTCAGACCCTGATCAGGAAGTTCCTCTTCCTAGGAGAGTGGGGATGGCAACTTCTGCCCTCCAATCGCCACAGCCTGGGGGTCACAGGCAGAGCTGGCCAGAGACTAAAGGCCCAGGAAGGGTAGACAGAGTCAGCCACACAGCACCAAGTGTTTACACTGCTAACAAGGCAGAGCGCTCCAGCACAGCGCGGCCACCCTGGGGTTCGTGTGTGACATGCATGGGAGGGGTCAGCACTCCTCAGCTGGCTCCTGCCTGGGCCTCGGCGCTCCAGCAAAGCTTGAGTAATCATGTTTACGAGCAGTGAGTCAGAATAGAGGACACAACCTTCTGAGGCTGGAGCAGGTTTGAACAAGAACAACAGGGGACACCCAAGAGTCTCTCAGCAGGACCTGACAGAGCAGAGAATGGCCCATACCAGACTGAGGCTGGTCTCCACAAGAACGCCTCCCCAGGCCCGCAGTCAGAGAGCTCAGAAGTCGGTGCCAGCACCCTATTGTGTATAATGCACAGTATGGGGTGGGGACCAATGTCCAAGGCAACAGAACAGTGACACACAGAGGTAGCGCTCGTCTGGAGGCTGGGCGGGTGGCTGAGAAGATGGGGCCAAGAGACAGACCCTCTTCTGCCGCCTATAAGCTCTGTGAATGGGGGCAAGTTTCTTCGTCTATAAAATGAATAATAGTAGTGCCCATCTCTCAGGGTTACTGTGAGGACTGCATGACAAAAAAAAAAAGCACTTAGAAAAATGCCTGGCAAATAGTAGGTGTTCAATAAATGTTAGCTATGATTATCATTGATAAATAATCATTATATGTCATGTTTTGCATCAAGGGGTCCTTCCAGTTACCATTAGAGAGAAATACTCAGACTGCACACCGATCCAGAGCCCAGGTGGCTGGTGGATATGGCTCAGTGGTACAGCACATACTTAGCATGTAACAGGTCTTGGGTTCTATCCCAGTATCTCCATTAAAAAAAAAAATCAGAGCCAGGGTGGCTAAAACCAAGGGCTGCTGCTATGAGAAGGCCTCCTTGTGTCTTTGTACTTCGGTTGTCCTTCCTCAGGCTTGTGTGGCTTGAGGGAACGAAGTTATAAGAGGAAACTTAATTTCCTAGAGTAATACTCTGGACAAAATATCAGTAGGAGTAAATCTATACTTGGCTCTGCACAAGAAAAATCTCCTTTTCTGAGACATGTCTTGAAATATAAAGGGATAAGAATCATTACTTGCCTGCAAGTGATGTTGGAGTGAACGCTCAGAGATTTTAAATGAATCTTAGGCATTTTCACTGTCGCAGTGAGACAGTGAGCGTTCTCTCGTTTCCAGACCACACTGAAAGCGATCTAGGTTGTCATGACAGGTCTGGGGCTTCTCAGCCTGGAGTCTGTTAACCTCTCTAAGGCCCAGAGGGTGGATTTCAGGTGGAAAAATACCAGAAAAGGTAAGGGCGGACTTTTATCAATTTAAATTCTAAACTGACTAGAATTTTCTCTCGAGTATTAGAAGAGCTTCTGTAAGCATATCTCTATCCTGCATAACAGAGAGAAATACAAAACTGCTGGCTATTTAGGACCCATCACACGTGTTTAAATCTCAGTCCAGTTGCAGTGCGCACCGATGGACGGAAGAACTGTGCGTGAAGACATGCCTCCCTCGCTCTGTCTTTGGAATGTGCTAGAGAAGTTCTTCCAATTCTCTGCCTAGATTTTCCCTCTGCCTGGCTATTTTCTTGGGCATCTGTGAACAAAACGTTGAACTAATATGAGAAAAAGGAGCACTCATATGAACAATCTTAATATCACTTCGGTGGACCTTAATAGCACATGATGATAAGAACAATAATGATGAATAATAACCTTAGAGGCAGCTGGTATATTTTTGGCTGCCTAGGATCTACTAAATGTCAGATGGAAAAATATTGATATCCGGTAGAAAATGTCATGTTGCTTTAGGCTGTAGAGTGGCTTATTTTTACTGTCAAGAGGGGATATGCCTTGAGTTACGTTCAAAGTGTGGCTCTGAAGGGATTTGTCAGGCAGGTGGTTCAAGCACAGTGTAACTCATATGCATAATCAGGGTAGAAAGGGTGGCCTGATACCTAATGAAGTCTCCATTTACAGGTGCTCAGTTGCATTCATGCTTCAGCCTATTACAAAGGGAGAGGACTTATCACTAAATGCCAAGGGAAACGCTAATTTTCCTGGCAGCCTCTCCATAGGACTGATAGCCTTAGGGCAGGGGACTGGAACAAGACCTCAGGGGCCTCTAGGACTAGCGGCAGGGAACCTCACAACGGAAGAATTGATGGAGACCTCCAAGTATGCAGTTGGAAGGAAATTTTACTGAAATGCATTCACTAAAAGATTTCTCTTTCCTAACGTATAAGTCTTGAAAATAGAAATAATAGTAACAACCACTTAGTGAGCATTTTGATAATGTGTTGGGAAATTTGCATATATGATTTCCTCTAATCCTTTACAAGAACCCTGTGAAGTAGGTATTCATATCCAAGTTTGACAAACAAGGACACTAGGGTTAAGTAATCTGCCAAAGTTGCAGAGTTACTGGGTGACAGAGGCAGAGGAGAACCTAGCCCATTTGCCCCAAAAGACATGTTCTTTCCCACTACATCAGGGTCCTTACACTCACTAGGGAGAGAAAGGAAGCATTCGGATCCCAATAAAAGAGAAAAATGGGCATGCTACTGCAGAAACTTGTATTTCTACACCATTTAACAATTTTCCATCCATTAAAGCCCCATCTTATCTTATCTATTCCTCACAAAATTCCTGTGATTCGGTGGGAAGAACCCCTATTTTAAAATAAACTAGAGCAGTGACGTTAAGGGAGCTTCCCAAGGTCACACAGCTGACGGGCATACTGGAGCAGGGCAAGGGCCCTCCTGGGACTGTGCCAGACAGAACTCACCCAGCACTGACAGATGCCCCCTGCCCAAAACATCGCTTCTTCTAGCACTTGTAATTTTTCTAAATTACAGAGGAATTCTAAGCTCAGATGGATTCTGTGCTTATTGCAGGGATGTTTAAACTGCGAAGTAAGGAGAGGAGGGAAGGGTGATTGCTCTCTGGGGCAGGATGAATATTCAGCTTCAAGCGTTCAACAACGGGGCACTATGGTTGAGTTGAACATTGACTTTTATCTGGATCAGGACCATTGAAAACATGGGTGATACAGGTTTATTTGAAGTCATTAGAACCATATCCTCAAAGGACTGTTTTTAAGTCCATCTGCAAGGATGAAGAAATAACTGCATCATGACAGAAATGGAAACAAGGTGAGAAGGAACCAGCATTTAATGAGCACTAGTTATGTGTCAGAGGCTATGTACACAGCATCTCACTGAACCCTGATAGTGTTCTATGAAGATACAGATCATGAGTCCCACCTTTAGAAAAGGAAGCTGACACTCATGAAGTTAACTAGTTTGGTCAAAACTTCATGGCTAATGAGCGGCAGGGCCAGGCATGAAACCCAGGTCTGCCTGATTATTTTTATGATACTCAGCCACCTCCCTGATATAACATTATAATGAAGTTCTTTGTAACGAGATTTTACCTGCATACCCACTTTTATTTTATTTCTCTGATGAGATTTAATTCATTCTAAAATCTGCATGACCCCAAAATAGAAATCTCTGAAACCTTTTTCATTCAATCCATCCACTCATCTCTATGTATTTACCTGCTTCTAAGTTACAAGCTCTGCAGTAAGTGCTGGAGATGTAACAGGAAACAAGACAGACACTGTTCTGCCCTGAGAGGGATTATACAGTAGAACAAAATTTTTGGTAAAGAATCAAGAAGTATTTTAGGTTTTGCAGGTTATATGATCTCTGTTGCAACTACTCAGCTCTGCTATTAAAGCATAAAGTAGTTACACGTAACACATAAATGAATGAGTGTGGCTGCGTTCGAATAAAACTTTATTTACAGAAACAGAAAGCGGGCTGGATTTGGCCCACAGAAGTTTACTGACCTCTGCTCTCTAGAGGAAGCCTCAGGAAAGTAACCAAGTAATTAGAACACATTGTGATCATTACTCCCATTGAACAAATACAGCGAGTTCTAGACACCTAAGCCAGATTAAGAGAGATAGAGGATTGCTTTCAGGAGAAACTGGCAGCCACAAAGCCATCTGAGTGATGAGTAGGAACTAACCAGGTAAAACTGTCTGGTCCTCTTCCACTTATTCTCCTTGTGTTTTCTTTAACTACATTTCTCAGGAACAATTCTTTATTTTACAAATACCCAAATACCTGAGTCATTTTGCTGGTCTCATTCCTTTTCATCCAAATAGTTCAAGTCCCTTCCCCCTTCTTCCTACAACAAGCACATCAACTTTTTCTTTCGGTCTGTCACAGTCTAGATTTTACTCTGTATGCTAATAGCCTTCTAAAAGTTTGAACAAAAGTAAAGTTGAACTTCAACATATAACTTTTGCAGTATGTAAATGATACCTCAAAAAGCTATTAAAGGTAAGTAAATAAAGCCAGCAGGCTGACTCCCAGGAGTCCTCCCAGGATGACTGAACGTTGATGAAGCCAACATAGACCAGGGTCTGGAAAAACCCAACTTTTTCTCAATCTCAAAATTCCCACACATAAAGCTACAAGGAACATAAGCTCATAACCAAAAATCAAAAGCACACATGGTAGCAAGGTATCACGAGAGAGAGTCATAGAAGTAATAGATGGCAAAGTCTGGCCTGCAAAGACTTCAGTACTGGAATTATCAGACACAAAATATAAAATCATGTATTTAATAATTTTACAGAAATAAAAGAGAAGATTGAGACAGCTTCTCCTTGAGATAGAATGTATCTTCTCTTAAGCAATGAGGAAGCATAAAAAAAGACGAAGAAAATTTGAAACAGACCTTCTAGAAATGCACTAGTAAGTGGATTAAGAAACAGACTGAACACAACTGAAGAAAGAATTAGTCATTTGTCAGAGATAAAGTAATAGATTAATGCTGCCAAAGAGAGAATTAGAGAACGGAAAGACCAATCCAAATAAAGAATCATACTATACACACACACACACACACATACACACACACACATATATACACACACACACACACACACACACACACATAGGCTTCAGAAGAGAAATTTTAGTCACTAAGTTTGAATAATGAATATTTAACACCATTGATTCACTTCTTATAAACTTTCAGGTCCAAGGTTAGCACATCAATTCATGTTCCCCAACTTTTCTTACTGTTATAACTCCCTTACTCTTTAAACATGCTTACAACACAAAATAGTGGTAGAATCTGAACTCTGTGCTAGATGAACAATAAACCTAATTATTCCCATATGGCTCCAGTTCCTAAGAGCTCACACACATGTGTCCACCTTTATGTTCATCAATCTCACGTCCAGCTCAAGAACTCTGAGAAGGTCAGAGATCTAATTCCTCAACATGATAAAGGCCATATATGACAGGCACACAGGACACAGAGGAGATGGAATATATGAAAGAGACATAAAATGTTCTACAAGTATATGATAGAATGTGGAAGAGGCACAATTCGAAGAGATGAAGACTGAGATTTTCTAGACTTATTGGACGAATGAATGCAGACTTCCACCTGTAAAATAAGAAGCCCAGTACCAGGTGAAGAACTCTTCTTCGCTCACTGAACTTGGCCAAGTTACAATAAAGGGGTTTCCTACTACTTCTAGAGGTAAGCATGTGAAGGAGACGTGGTATTTTCATAGTATTGTACTACATGGGCTTCAGAAGTGGGTAATACGGTGAAAAACATTCTGCCCAGCTTGAGTTTTCTCCATCCATCAAATTCATCGTGCTACTTTCCATATTACTCTGCTGTTTTTAGTAAAAACCCAGGACACACTGGAATCGAGGCTTCAGGGTAATGTTGAAATCCCTGGAGTCCCTCAGTGTCCGGTACAGTGTTTAAAACCTGGTGATTGCATAAGGAAGGTTGTTGACTGACAATCAGCATGATCAGGTCAGCAACAACGGGAGATAAGAAAACTTACTGAAAGTGACAACTGAAAGAAAGTAACCTAACTGTGTATCTCCAGACCATGAAATACGATTAGCTTTCAAAACCAACCTCAGCCAGATATCCCGCAGCCCAGACACAGGAAGGGCCCAGGTTGTAGTAAAAACAATCTTAGATAACATTTGTGGGTCGTTTACTATTTGCCAGGCCCCATGCTAAGCATGTAATGAGGAAAAAACAGGAGGTATTTTATATCTTATTCAACAAACGTTCCTTAACCTACATCACTGAAAACAAGTTGTATGTATTCTCTAAATGCATTAATGGTGACTCACCTACTATCATTATGATACCAAAAGGTATCATAAGATAAATAAAATTAAATTTATTTCACTTTAAATAGAAAAGTAAACTTCGTGCTATGAAATTTTTTTAAAAATTGATGAAAAGTTTGGGATGGCTGAAATTCTTTTTTCTGAATGCAGTAAAAACATATATTAAATAAAATAACACCCACGGAGGAACGGTCAGAAAAATGCTTCTTGGTTTACCAGTTTGGTAGGTTGAGACACCAGTGCATCACAGCCTTGGCCCCAGGGCAGCGGGTCTAAGGGTTCGGAGTACAGCAGCATCACCCAAAACCTCATAAGTAATGTAGCTTCCTGAGCTCAACTGGAAGGATTCTTATGCAGCCAGTTTGGGTTGAGGTCCACAAGTGTGCCCTTGCTGCAGGCTCCACGTGAAAATGTGGGCAGGTGGTCCAGAACATTCCTCACAAAACTATGTCGTAGGAGAAATAGAGCCCCAAGCCCTCCCTTCCCTGTGAACCCCAAGAATCCTGAACAACTCCAGCTCAACCACAGAAGTGATCTGATTTGCAAGGGTCCAGGTTCGCCTGATCAGTGACTTTGATCTGGCCCCATAATCAAAGGGATAGAGCAGAGCCATAACGATTTTCAGGCATAAAGTCAACGGCTATTTAATATGACAGTATCTTTAGTAATCCATTCGAAAGCATCAAGCACTTAAAGAAATTTCATATGCCTGCCTATCTCTTCTCTCCTCCAAAAAAATAATAAGCTCACCTTTTTATGGTCATTATGGTAATGAGCCATTTTCCCTTTGCCTTCAACTTCAGATTCACTTTCAAGAATGAGAAAGAATAATTTGGGCAAAACAGATGCTTGTGACATTTTTTATTTGATGAGTGGTCGATATGTTTACCTGATTGCATCACAACCAATTGGACACCAACCCCTCTTTGAAGTAAAGCGCCACACTGAGTGGCTAAAACCAGGAGGTGGAGAGGATACATAAACATCTTCAGTAAAATATAGCTGAATTTGCTCTTTCTTTGAAGCAACCCTCTGAAGTACCCTTTAGGAAATGTTTCCTTGAGACAGAGAAAAATACAAGTGATAGATGCCGATTGTTTCTAAGACATAAGGTTTTGTCATTTCTGTTCAATGTGTGACCCACAAGCATTTACTCTCACTCACAGAGAGACAGTCATCAGGGAAAAAACAGGATAGATTTAATTCAGCATCTATTTATCAACACGGAGTTCTCCTGCCCACGGAACTTCATACTACATGATGTTCACTCCAAAGGGTTAACTCCACATCCCGTTTTTTCTCTCCAGAACTTTCTGATGACTTTGCAAACCAGTCAACAATTCAGCACAAAGGCATTCAGAGTCATGCTGGCATGTTGTGACAGGATCACACTGTTACGCGGGACTCGTCCCATTCAGAAAATGCCCCAACAGTAAACGGCAGAGGTAAACAGAATCACACATCAGAGCCAGCACAGTCTGAGACCTGAAACTCAGACTCCGCGGTCTCTGGGGAAAGCTTCCCACTGGGTCACGGAGTAAAGGTGACAGACAGAAAATGACCACAAGACTTCTGAGAAAAACCCTGGCTTTGCTCTTCCTTGGCCTCTTTGGGGTCATGAAGGCGACAACAATATCATGCAGGAATGAAGAAGGTGAAGCTGTGGATTGGTAGGTAAATGAAATGCAGGGGTTGGCGTGTGCAAATAGAAAGCCAGGGTATTATTGGTGGCCAACTGTGAGGTTCCGGAGGAGACTTCCACCCTGCCCCTCCCCTCAAAAAGAAAGGAAGTTAAAGTGTGTACATGGGCCACACATCCAGATCGGGGTAGGCTTCCGAGTGAGGGAGCATCCCCTGGGGAGCGAGCTGAGCAGCCCCTGGAGGCCCTGATTTACACTCTCAGCAGGGCAAGGCTGCCGCCACAGAGGTGCAGCAGAGCTGACAACCCTCAGCTGGCAATTTCCTTTCATCGCATTGTGGCTTTCCTAACAGAACCCTTCCCACGTCCTTTTAGAGACTGACAAACGAGAGGAGGTGGACTACTGTTTTCCCGGCACTGGAGCTTCTCCTCACGAGAAGGAGAGAGACGGCCCGCTGGCACACAGCACTGTTTGGGTCACCTTGTTTCTCAAGCAGCACAGGGAGCTGCTGGGGTGGATGGGAGGTCACTGGTCTCCTGCAGTGTCACAGAGATGAAACACCGCTTTGCCTTACAGTCACGATTCCCCTGAAGCTTTGATCACTTTTTCGCTCTTTAATTAGGGTGCTTAGCTTTGCCTTTATGGTTGGCATCAAGGTTTGTGTAAACTTCAGGCTAAAGAACACAGACACATTCAGTCTCTCAGCAAACAGTTACTGAGTTCACAGCAGCCCAGTGCTGAGTTTTGAAAATACAAATATGAACAAAACATAGTTCTTAGCTTCAAAGGGCTCATAGTTCTGTGGTTAGGGCACAAGTGGGGATTAGGGGGGTTAGAGCCCAAAGGGCTTCTCGGGGAAGTAGTTTTCAGCACAATTAGTTAAAAAGACGAGGGAGACTCCACAAGGGCATCTCAGGCCAGTGAAGAAGCAGTGAGGAGGTCCAGAGCAGGACACAATGGGGGGAGTTTGGAAGCAGTGCAGTACTGTTGGCCCTTCAGGAGAATGTGGGGCAGTGGCAGGAGCGGAGCTTAGAGAGATAGCTGAGGGCCAGGTCAGAAAGGGCTCCACGGGCTGAACTGCAGAGTTGGAACTTGACCTTGAAAGGGAGCTACTGAAAGACTTCAAGCAGGGACTTGATAAAGTCAGATTTGCACTTGAGAAAGCCCACTGGCAGTACTGTGAAGGCCAGCTGAAGGGGACCCGTCTAGAGTCATGGAGACCAATAGGACTTCCACAGCATTGCAGGTGACAGGAGGTATGGACCTGAGTCAGAGAAGTGGAGACTGAGAGGAAGAAGCCTTGGTAATGGATGCGCTGAGGGTGGTAGGAGAGAGGAAGAAGTTAAGAAGGACTTCCAGGTGGCTGACTTCTGTGGCTGTGTGGCTGTGTTCCCTAACAGCAGGGAATGGGTGGATTTGAAGCCAAATACTATAAACTTGGTTTCAAAAATATGGAGTTGGGGGTCTCTGGGACCTCTTTGCGTTTAGGGTTATCTAGCCCTCAGCATAGAGGTCTGGGCTAGAAATAGATTCAAGAATCTTCAGAATGTAATTGGAGATGATCACCCAGGAAAAATGTTAACAAGCACTAGTTCATAACTTGTGTGCCCTGATAGTTCACAAGCCTCCCGCTGGTGGGCCACCACACAGTGATCGATATGTAAAATTTATTTTTGCCACAACTGAATGGACGTATTACTTAGCAATATCTGTCAGAGAGAATGTTGGGCTGAGCAGACAGGGAGCCACAGTCTCGAGCCACCACAACTTACTGTGACAGTTAAAGGGCCAAGTAACACGGGGACAGCACCACAGAGCAACTTCAGGCTTCCTGCCACATGTGAGGACCTTGCCCTGCACAGGGTAGGAAAGAGAATAAACAGAAGCTTACGACTGATGAGAACCAAGTGAAAGGTGATGCTTTTATGGGCAGTGTGAGCCACTGTTGTGTATCCAGTACACAATACATACAGCACAAGTGGTAATAGTGCGTGCGCCACAATGCCTGGTTCACTGTGAGTATCTGAGGGTTAATTGTGGGGTTCGTGCTTAGAAAATATTTGGCCAGACCAGGTCGATTTTGCCCTCCAGGTACTCTCGACAATGTCTGGAGACACTTTTGATTGGCACGACTCGGAGAGGCCTACTGACATCTAACAGGCAGAGGCCAGGGGTACTGCAGTGCATGGGACTCACCCCCAGAACAAAGACTGATTGGGCCCAAAATGAGCCCACTGAGAAACCCTGGGCGTAGGTGATCCAAGAGTGTCCGAATGCCATGTGGGCCCAACCACCTGCCCTTCCTGTGAGATACCCAAAGGAGATACACAAACAGAAGACAAGAGTGAAGAAAGCAAAGCACTTACTCAATTGGCACATCTTGGCCCTGAATCCTCAATGCAGAGCATTCTGATCACCTGAGCTGAAGAATGTGGCTCAGGCCAGAGTGTCAAGAAAGCCACCCTGAAGCCCAAACCCAAATCTCAGACCTGGCCAGCCAGCTGCAAAGAGATGAGCATGCCAAGCATATAAGGCAGCAGAGACCAAGACCTCTCCAGTCCAGACATGGTCCTTGGCCTTCTCCCCACTGCAGCCTTACGGATGGTGGGCACAGCAGGGAAGCCATTCTTAACGCACTTGCACTTCCACTGCAGGGATCCCACCCACCAGGCCAGTAAATGTCGTTAGAATACGCACAGCCAGAGCTGCATTTCCTTGTCTGGGAAGGAGCAATGATAAGGGTGCAAAAAGAGGCAGAGAGCTTGAGCAAATACCTTTCCTTAACCTTCTGTGAAATGTAAATGAAATGATATATTTGAGTGCTTAACACAGTGGCTGCCATCAGGGAAACAGTCGATAAATGTTAGTAATTCACAATTATTTCCTTTGTTAGGTTTACCTTTTATAAGTTACCTAAAAGGCAAGACAAGAAAAGTAGAGAGACTGGGTTAGAGTACCTATACCTAGACTCTACCAGCAGAGGCTGGAGGAGGAGTCAGCAGCTAGTGAACACCACCAAGAGTGTTCTGGGAAGGACCTTACAACAGCTGTACGAAGCATATGCCTCCGAGGTATGTTATAGTTAATCATTTATTTGACTGACATAAAATGCATAAAACAGACTCCAAAGCTTCCAAAAGATTTTAACTGCTCACCTTCCCAACCCCCAATCCTAGCAAGTGGAAGTAAGCTAGCTCAGAATCTGAACAAATCTAACCGAGACCTCAGGGAATCCGTCAGCCAACTCCACAGCAAGGCCAAATTTTCAATACATTCGGCAACATTTCCAATGGCATCACTGGGCAAGGTGTGAACTAGTTACATACTGAAGTCTTCTGGCTGCCAACCTCCGCCAGTCTGCCCTGCGGTCTTATCCCTGTAATGGAAATAGAGAGAAGAGCCCTCTCTTATTATAACGCAATACAGATCTGTGATCAGTCCGCCATGAGTCATGAGTTGTTTATGCCATGGTGGTGACGAGTTTGGTGGGCCGACCACTTGGTCTTCCTTTTAATTAATCATTTTCAAAGTAGCAGGCTGAGAGCTAGGGCTCTAGATCAAGGCCCTGGAACTAACTTGCCTGAATGGAGAGTAAGCCTGCTATGTGGACTTCACCAGGCGATGAGCTAACTGGCCAAAGAGACACAGGTGAGGAGGCCTCCTGCCTCAGTGTGGGCCGTATCCCAACGTTCCAGGCATCATCTGCTGTTCAGTGACAAGAAGCTGCTTTTCAGCCAGGGGTGACAAATAGCATTGAACAATAATTAACATCCAGTTACACTCATGTACACACTTCCTAACAATAACTTACGGAGAAGTAAATATGTAAGATAACTCAGCACTACAATGTGCTGGGCTTCACATACGTCAGCTAATCTAATCCCCACGACAGCACTGAGATAGCCTCCAGCACTCCTGCGCGTGTCCGAGTGTTTACTCACAAGGGGCAGAGAGCTGTCACTGTGTGTGCTAATGATCACCTTATTCACCTGCAGTTAAGGCCGGCCTTCAGAGCCAAGTTACAAAGTCAAAACTCACTTGCAGGCTGTTTGAGCACATGTGATGCTCTAAACACTGTCCTAGGGGCTTTTAAAAATTCTTCAATTTTGAATTAATAGATTATTATATCGAATCAAAACTACCTGCAGCTGCTTCTGCTTTCCAAGGTTGGAGGATGAAAAACCTGGACCATAAGCCATCAGTGAG